ACAGTAAGTGGAACTTGTTAGGATCCTTAACTGAACAAACCAACTATGGAAATTTGGGGGAGGGAAAATCAAGGAAATTTGAGTATGGTGTAGGTATTAGTTACTAAAGAATTTACTGTTACTTTTTAAGTATAATGATTACATTGTGGTTATGTAAAATTTATCTTTTTTATTTTTGCAATGCATATCAAAGTAAATTATTTAGGCTTGATAAAGCAAGATTACATGAGGTTTGGGATTTGCTTTAAAATACTCCAGCTAAAAAAGTAGGGGGAGGCGTTGGGGAGATAGATGAAACAAACACAGCGGAATATTGATGGTTGTTAAGATTGGGTGATGGGTACATAGGGTTCCTTCATACTTTCTACTTTTGTATATGGTTGAAATTTTTGGATTAAAAAATTTTTAAGTATTATTAGGAGAAATTTATGATTTCAGTATTAGACTTCTGGAACATCTTCCATTGGCTATGATTTTTTATGGATCACTGAGAGGGGTTTAAATGACTTCATCCTCAAGTTCTCTCAGTAACTTGGAATGTCTCTTGCCTGGTCCAAGAGAAAAGTTTATTTAGAGAAAGTCTTTATTTATAATCTTTTCATAAAATTTGGGCTCCAAATCCTTCATATCATGTTTCATATCCTATATCCAGATGATTATCTTTGATGGGCAAATATAAATTTTTTCTTTCTCTCTTCCTTCCTTCCTTGTTAGAATTAGGTTCAACATAGAATGATACTATCATTTTCCTAAATAACATCAGTTTGATTTGTAAATGCACCAATCAAGTTTTGCCTTCAGTTTTTAAGCAATTTACAAGAGATAATTCAGTAAAAATGCTGACTTTTAACAAAGGATTTAGCATTTCACACTAAACTAAACAATGGTGATAGGTAAAGTTGTTTCTGGCAAAACTGTTCTACTTAGGACTTCTTGTCTACCCTGTACTCAGGATCTTCTATAATTTTCTTTTCCTTCACACCTGAATGGTCCACAAAGTCTTATTAAAGATACAGTAAGGTAAAGAACATGGAATTTAGAAACAGATCTGGATTGAAAACTTGGCTCTGTCATTTATTAGCTGTATAACCTTGAGCAGTAGCCTACTCTAAGTTTCAATGTCCTCATCTATAAAATGGTAAGAGTAATACCCAGTCCTCACAGTATTATTAAAAGAATTAGATGAAATAACATAAGTAAAGATACTGAATGCAACACTTGGCACATAGCATGTGCTCAATAAATGGTATCTACAACAGGATGTGAAGGAATGGATTTAAAGTCTGGATTGAAAAATAAAAGAATCATTATAACAGCGAATAAAGCCCAGAGGTATCATCACCAAATTGTTGATAATGGTTTTCTTTGGGAGAATTTTGGTTTGTACTCCCTCTATATTATACATTTTTTCTTTTTTTAAAAGATTTTATTTATTTGTTTGCCAGAGAGAGAGAGAGAGCACAAGCAGGGGGAGCAGCAGAGGGAGAAGCAAGCTCCCCACTGAGCAAGGAGCCCAATGCAGGGCTCAATCCCAGGACCCTGGGATCACAACCTGACCTGAAGGCAGATGCTTAACCGACTGAGCCACCCAGGCGTCCCTATAGTTTAAAATAATAAGTATGTGCTGCTATGAATCAGAAAAAAATTAAAATATTTTAAAAATATCTGCTTTCTTCATTCCCAATATCACCAGTAAAGTTTTGGCCCTAATTATCTCTTGCTTGGACTCTTCCAAGCTGCAGTCTCAGCACCTCCACACTCCAAGCCATTTTCCACACTGCAACCAGAACTCATCACATCTAGTCCCTGGGGAGTTCCATGTTACCTACAGAATGACATTCAGATTCCTTTGTGGGACACAGAAGGCTCTTCATAATCTGTTCTCAGCCTTTCCAGCTTCATCCCCCAACCTTTCCTCCCATTCACACTGGACTCCAGCTACACCAGAAGTCCTGTCAACTTCCAAACACATTATGCATTTTGATGCCTTCATGCCTTTGCACAGGAGGCACTCAATCCTTCTACTCTTTGTGCCTATTTGGCAATTTTCTACTTTAAGACCTGCTCCATTTTTGATGTCCCATAAAGTAACAACAATGAGTTGTAGTGAGTTGTCTCTTCTCATTGTAGACTATGACTGCTTGAGGAATGGAAAGCTGGGTAGTATTCTGAGAGCACAGACTCTGGAGCCAGACTATTTGGGTTTAAATCATACTAGCTATGTGACTTTGGATAAGTTAGTTAACCTCTCTGGCTGCAGTGTCCTCATGTATAAAATAGGTTATAACAATAACAATAACAACAGCAATAATAACTACCTACAAGACTATTATAGAAATACAAAGCAAGTCCTGGCATTTAGTAAATATGATCTAAACTTCTACCATGAATATTACTATCATTAGTGTTATTACTACTAGTACTGTTACTATTGTAGGCCCTTCATAAATGAACTAACAAGCAGTTTTAGCCTTATGAACTGAACTAAATATTAACTTTTCAGAAGAAATGGAAAGATATTTTATAAAAGTTTCCTAATGAATCAAAATTGAGGAAGTTATTCTTAAAGTAAATAATTCTTATTTTGGGGGGCACCTGGGTGGCTCAGTCGTTAGGCATCTGCCTTTGGCTCAGGTCATGATCCCAGGGTCCTGGGATCGAGCCCCACGTTGGGCTCCCTGCTCTGTGGGAAGCCTGCTTCCCCCTCTCCCACTACCTCTGCTTGTGTTCCCTCTCTCGCTGTGTCTCTCTCTGTCAAATAAATAAATAAAATCTTTAAAAAATAATAATAATTCTTATTTTTCTGTTGTGTGCTATAAATACAAGAAAATGGAGTCTTAGAATAAAAATCTGTATATTAACAAAGTGGCCTTTTATTAATTAAAAGCAGGGGAGAGGGGCAGAGGGAGAAGCAGGCTCCCTGATGAGCTGGAAGCCCGAGGCAGGACTTGATACCAGGACCCTGGGATCACGACCTGAGCCTAAGGCAGACACTTAACCGACTGAGCCACACAGGAGTCCTACCAACTTAATTTTCTAAATAAATATCTAATTATGGTAAATTTTTTTATATCTTCCATAAAGCATCTATAATATGTAAATGTATCAAATGTATATACATTTTACCATATCAAAAAGGAATGAAGTTAATTTTATTTAATTAATCAATTAATTATTTTTAGAGAGAGCAACAGAGAGCCTGAGCGAGAGGAAGGGGCAGAAAGAGAGTGAGAGAGAGAATCTCAAGCAGGCCCCATTCAATGCGGAGCCTGACGCAGGGCTTGAACTCATGACCCAGACATCATGACCTGAGCTGAAATCAAGAGTCAGGCGCTTACCCAACTGAGCCACCCAGGCACCCTGTGGAAGATATTGTTTTAGATCATCCACACCACTGCTCTTCTCCATCAGTCAACACAATCTCCAGGACAACACATTTCAGCATTCTCAAGGGATCATTTATTTACAAACTCATTTTTAAAAACTACTATTAAATTTATCATTTCCTGAAACATAAATCTAATATTTTTCCTCTCTCCAAAACTCTTCAGTGGCTCCCCATTTCCTTGAGGATAATGTCAAATGTTTTAGAGCTTAACATTTTAGAATCTCCAGAAGTTGGTATAAATTGATCACCTTGGCCTTATTCACCAATGACCAGCTGTGCAAATCATATCCTTGTGCATCCATTAAGACTTGCAGTTCCACATGAGCTGCAAAGGAGCACTTTACTTTATAATGTTATTCTGGCACTTATATATGACCTTCATTGTATTTGTTTAAAATTGCTCATATGTTTCTATGGAAGTTGCAGCTCTTAAAAGGAATACAGATAGGGCGCCTGGGTGGCTCAGTTGGTTAAGCAACTGCCTTCGGCTCAGGTCATGATCCCAGAGTCCCGGGATAGAGTCCCGCATCGGGCTCCCTGCTCAGCGAGGAGTCTGCTTCTCCCTCTAACCCTCCCCCCTCTCATGTACTCTCTCTCTCTCTCATTCTCGCTCTCTCAAATAAATAAATAAATCTTTAAAAAAAAAAGGAATACAGATAATAATTTCTTAGATTAGTAGTTACTGAATACTGTGTGCTAGATGCTGTGCTTTATAAAGCATTATCTCACTGAAGACTCCTAACAACCTACTGATCTAGGTATTATTATTTGACTCCTTATTGCAATGAGGAAACCAAGACATAAGGAAGTTAGATAACTTGCCCAAGATCTTATAGTAAGTAAGTGGCAGAACCCTGGATGAAAACACAAATCTTTCTGATGGTGCAGAGTCAATGGCATATAATACAATATTATTTTAGTGTGAAGGTAATATTATAAATTTTACTTTTATTTTACAGATAAGAAAACTGAGGTTTGGAAAGGTGCAGTGTCTTGCCTAAAGTCACAGAACCAGGAAGCGCCAAGAGACAAGAAAAAAGAATAATCAGAGAACAAAAATTAGTTCTTATAAATTAAAAATAGAGTAGCTGAAATGAAAATTCAATAGGGTTTATCTTCAATTAAATGTAAAATTAACATCTTCCAACACATAAAAAGATAAGAGATGAAAAACAGAAGGACTAAGAAATCAATCCTGGAGATTCAACTCTTGACTAACAGGAAATCTAGAAAGTGAGAACACAGAAAACGGAAGGGAAGAAATTTTCAAAAGAAACAATATGTAACAGAGAATGTTAGCAATCACCGAAATCCTCTGTCCTCTTCTTCCTGGACACCTAGACAACATTTCTCAGATTTCCTTAAGAAGTAAGGGGCTGAATGACTAAGTGCTCTCAAATGGAATGTGAATGGGAGTAAAGTAAGCCATTTCCAGGCATGGCTGATAATTTCTCCCATGTATTTTCTCCTTCCTATGAGCTGAAATGGCAAAGCTGAACAAAGTGATCGTAGGAACCATTTACCCAACTGAGCCACCCAGGCACCCCAATGCTGTATACTTTTAACAACTATTCTATACTCAAACCTACTTTAAAGGAAACGATGTACCTACCCTTTGAGGAGCATAAACAGAATATGAGGATGAGCACTAATGTACTCCACAGTAGGACTCCGAGTACCTATCTGTCTTCTCAGGATGTTGTTAAATATCTGGGTCACATCTTTTTTTCCCTGTTAAAGAAACAAACAACCATTAAATTGCACAATTGAAACAGGTGAATTATATGGAGTGTAAGTTGTATCTCAAAAGCTGTTTACACATACACACACACAAAGAGAAACAGCATTGTTCTTTGTAATATCCAAAAACATTAATTCATTCTTTTTTTATGATTCAACATTTATATACAGTATAAAATGATCACCATAAGTCTAGTTACCATCTCGTACCATAAAAAGTTAATACAATATCATTATCTATATGCCACATGCTACATTACATCCCCATGACCTATTTATTTTATTTATTTTTAAAATTTATTCTTGTCATATATCTTTAGTCAGCTGTGCTTTCAAACATTCAAACAGAATCTACAAAATGATGCAGCTCTTTTCACAGGATTTGCACTGTGGTTAACTTGAACAATTAGAAGTCTATTTCTCACAGTTGAAATGGCACAGAAGAATTTAAAATAGTAGTGAATATGATACAATTGAATTCCTTATGCTTTTTTACCTTTTAGCTTTATATAAGAATAACATTATGATTAACATTTTTTAAACCATCTTAAAGAACGAGGGAAAATAGATGAAGAAAATAAAGATTTTAGCAAATACAGGTTGGAATCAAATTCCTTTTTCTTAAATGTACTTTTTAGTAATTTTTTCCCTCCACTTTATCAATTCCCACTCCAAGTTGGTGCATTAAAAAAAAAAAAAAAAGAATGTGAGTTTTCTATTAGGTGGATACATATTTTAGGTGATCGTAAGAAATCATATCTAACCTACAGAAGTAGAGAGGATCACTCAATCCTAGTAGCCTGAGGCAGAGGAACTATAGCCAGTCTTGGATAAGACTTTTTAGAGCCCTCATTTACAAGACTTCCACTCTCACACACCCTACAACCTGAGGCTCATCTCCTTCTCCAACTGAAGCTCTGAATTGAACATAAGTTTTTTGTTTTGTTTTGTCTTTTTAAAGATTGTTTATTTATTTGGGGGAGAGAGAGAGATAGTGAGAGAACACGAGCAGGGAGGAGAGGGAGAAGCGGGCTCCCTGTGCGGGGCTCCATCCCAGGACTCTGGGATCATGACCTGAGCCGAAGGCAGCCGCTTAACCAACTGAGTCCCCCAGGCGCCCTGAGTTTTTGTTTTTTAAGATTTTATTTTTAATCTCCATACCCAATGTGGGGCTTGAACTCACAACCCTGAGATCAAGAGTTGCACGTGCTTCTGACTAAACCAGCCAGGCACCCTGAACAGGAGTTTTTTTTTATATGAAAAAAAGGACAAGAAGACATTCCATTGTTAGTTACTATGGCCCTGATTCTGGCCTTCGTCTCTCAGCTTAACTGTTAAAAGAGTACCTTTCACAGTTATGTCCTCTACTTAAAAGCAGTCTTCACTCTGCAGAGTGAGCTAAGTGGAAATGCAAATCTGACTATGCCAGTCTCTTAAGCTCTTCCATGCCTTCCTTTTGCTTAGAAATAAGTCTAACGCCCTCCATGACCTGGTCCTTGCCTACATCTCCAGCCACATCTCACTTTTCAATTCCTACTTCAAGTTCTTTTAATAATAAATGGCTGTACTACATAAACGTATACACAATATTTCTATACCTTTGTTCCTGTTCTTCTCTTTGTCCTGAATGCTTTTCCTTCCTTTCTCTTTGTAGCTAAATCTTAGCCGCTCTGTAACCCGGGCTCAGGCGTGCCAAGAGCACCTGGCTCCAGGGTTCCCAAACAGACCAGGTTCAGCCACTCACCGCTGACAAAATCCAAAGGCAGAAAGATGAGTGGTGGTGAAACAAGAAAGGAATTTATTTCAGTGAGGCCAACACCGGGAAGACAGCAGACTGCTGTCTCAAAGACTATCTCTAAAGTGCTGAAAGTACTCCTGGGTTTATATAAGGAAAACATGGGACAAAGTTTGGTGGGTATATGTAGGTAAGCAGTAAAGATCATTGTCTTGGGGTCAATCATGTGCGGTCTTGCTGACGTCAGGGCAGACCTTTTTGCTTGAGGGGTAGTTTCAGTTGCCTGCAGGGGTCTATTGCCTGAGTTAAGAGATAAGCTGGAAAAAAGAACTTAATTAGAAGGTGCAGACAGGTCAAAATGGAGGTCACTGAAGTCGTCTTTCAATCCTGCAGATTCAGTTAAGAAGTATTCACCTTTAGGATAACTGCCCTTCTCTGTGTGACAACAACACCTCTGCCTACATAGACCAGTACCTCCTATTCCCTTTCAACCCCTACCTTCGTCTCTACCATGGTCATAGCAGCTCACATTAAGCGCTTACTCTGGGCCTGGCACTTATACTAAGAACTTTACGTGTATTTTCCAATCCTCATAACAACCTTATAATGTACATTCTATAAGTAAGGAAATTAAGGACTAGTGAGGTTACCTTATGCAGGTGGGATGTGGGGGAGCCAGGACTCCATCCAAAACTGATGGAATCCAGAGTCTGGATTCTTAGCCATCATACTAAACTGATTCCAACACTGAACACAGTATACGGAAATGAATTTTGTCTCTAACTCCCTCATCACACTGATAGCTCCCAAGGATAAGCCATATTTCAATGCCCATAGTAGGGCCCGATATATAGTAGGCATTCAATATTTATTGACTGATTTATTACTTTAGAGGCATAGTCATCCATAAACCCTTTATCACAAATCTAGACCACTGAATCTCATGTATCTATTAATGTGGCACTTTTTTAATACCAAAAGAAGTAGGACCCAAAATGAAAAGAAGACACTAAGATTATTCAATTAATTACTCAATCTTAAAGCTACTAGCCATATAAAATATGGACTAAGTAGTGATTAAGAATACTAATATATAAATATATAATAAATATTTATTATATAATATAATAAATAATATATAGATAAATATTCTTAAAGGATTCACTTTATCAACAATTGGCTTGAAATGGATCACAGACTTAAATGTAAAACATAAAACTATAAAACTTCTAGAAAAAAATAGAGGAAGATCCTCAGGATATAGATTTAGGCATATAATTCTTAAACTTGACACTAAAAGCACAATCTAGAAAACAAAAACTAATAAATTGAACTTCAACAAAATTCAGCACTTTTGTTTTGTAAAAGATCTTGTTAATAGGATGAAAAGACAAGTTACAGATGGGGAGAAAATACTTCAAGCCACATATATGACAAAAAACTAGTGCTAGAATATATAAAGAAGCCTCTGAACTTGGTAGTATAAAATACAAACGCATTAGAAAATGGGCAAAAGACACGAAGAGACATTTCACCAAAGAGGATCTACACATGGCTACAAGCACATAAAATATGTTCAACATAATTAGCCATTAGGGAAATGCAAATTAAGATCACCGGGAGATATTATTACATATGCCTATCAAAACGACTAAAATAAATAATGACACCAAATGCTGACAAAAATGCAAAGAAACCACACTTGTACATTGTTGGTGGAGATCTAACATATATAGTTAATCTGGAAAACAATTTGGCAATTTCTTAAAAAACTTAACATGTGGGGTGCCTGGGTGGCTCAGTTGTTTGAGCGTCTGACTCTTGTTTTTGGCTTAGGTCATGATCTCAGAGTCCTGGGATCAGGCCCCGTGTCAGACTGTGTTGGGTGTAGAGCCTGCTTGAGTGTTTTCTCCCTCTGCCCTCCCCTTGCTCTCTCTCTCTCCCTCTGAAGTAAATAAATAAATCTTTAAAAAAGTAAAATAAAGGGCGCCTGGGGTGGCTCAGTTGGTTAAGCGGCTGCCATCAGCTCAGGTCATGATCTCAGGGTTCTGAGATGGAGCCCCATGTCGGGCTCCCTGCTCAGTGGGGAGCCTGCTTCTCCCTCTCCCTCTGCCTGCCGCACCCCCTGCTTGTGCTCATCTCTCTCTAATAAATAAATAAAATCTTAAAAAAAATAAATAAATAAAAATAAAATAAAATAAAAACTTAACATGCAACTACTATACTAGCAGTTGCACTCCTGGTATTTATCACAGGGAAATGAGACCTGGCCATGAATGTTCATAGTGGCTTTATTCATAATAATCAAAAGCAGGAAACAACCTAGAAATCCTTCCACAGGTAAATGGTTAAACAAACTGGGCCAAATACCCATACCAGGGACTCAGCAATAAAAAGGAATGAACTTTGAAACATGCAACAACCTGGATGAATCTTAAGGAATTATGCTGAGTGAAAAATGCCAGTAACAAAAGGTTACACAACCTAAGTGTCCATCAACAGACAAATGGATAAGGAAGATGTGGTATATTTATACAATGGAATGCTACACAGCCATAAAAAAGGATAAGACTGTGCCATTAGAGACATGGATGAGCATGAGGAGTATTATGCTTAGTGAAATAAGTCAGACCGTGAAAGACAAATACCACATGATTTTACTCGTATGTGGAATCTTAAAAAAAAAAAAAAACACCCCACAAATGAATAAGCAAATAAAATGCTGAATTAGACCTATACATATAGAGAACACACTGATAGTTGCCAGAGGGGAGAAAAGTGGGGGGTTGGGTAAAATGGGGGAAGGGGAGTAGGAGATCTAGGCTTCCAGTTATGGAATAAATAAGTCAAGACAGCATAATGTATATAGTCAATGACATTGTAATAGTGATGTATGGGAACAGGTGGTAGTGAGCACAGCATAATATATGAACTTAAGGAATCACTATATTGTACACTGGAAACTGATGTAACATTGTGTGTCAACTCAAACAAAAAATTTTAAAAGATTACACATGATATGGTTCCATTTATATTCAGACTGCAGAAAGGAGAACCGATTTGTGGTTGCTAGAGCCTGAGGATGGGGTAAGACAGGCGAGCGGCTATAAAAGGGCAAGAGGAGGCATCTGTGTGGTGACAGAAATTTCCATATCTTGACTTTATCAATATCAGTATCCTGGTCATGTCACTGCGCTATGGTTTTGCAAGATAATTGCCATCAGGGAAACTGGGCAAGGTACATGAGAGCTCTCTG